CATCTATTGCAGGCTGGTGTGTAAACACTACTGATACCATGTTCTTGCATCCTCCTTCTCCATAAAAAGGTACGATGTTGTCTCAGAATAGTAGTGCTCCTTTCATAATATAGTTCTTAATGATTTTGCATTGAACCTTGCTTCCTTTGTAAAACAGTGGCATCAGGTCCTAAAAGCTATTTGAAGGTAACTACAGCTGCATCCTCACACAGGGAGAAATGTCACTACAGTTTTCATGATTTTGTGATCTGCACTAAGATGATTTTGTGTTCTTACTGTAATTTTCTTTTGTTTCCCCATAGAGCACTTTCACCGCAATAGCTATGGCTCCGGAGGTTTCAGACACAAAGATGTGAAATAATGTTGTATGTCGACACCAGTGACACCAATGGAAGCTTCGGTTCTTCCGGATATAGGTGAGAGCATTAAACATGGATGCTTGGTGGCGTTAAACGCCTCATTTCATGCTACACTATAGTCCTTACAAACTTTGATCGGTTCTTTGGGCAGTATTCTAAAAAAATGCAGGGGTCTATATTTTTTTGGCCTCTTAAGCTGAATATATGGATTAGGCAGGTTATTTTAGATGAGTGTAGATGAGATTGTCCCACTATTGCTTTGTGAGAATTCAAACAGAGCAATTGAACATGGCCATCAAACATACTATCATATTAATTAAACTTTGTTGTTCATAGTTCAACTGTCATTTATTCTCTTACTTTCCATGACCAAGCTGCCATCCGTCTCTTGCAAATTATTGTCCATCTACTGTAGGTTGGAACAAGACTAATGCTAGGATATTTGAGATGATTTCTTTAACTAGTAGAATTCCAGGCTTTTGGTTATATATATTGCGTGTAGCTTCTTTAATTAGTGATGTTGCAGTGTTCCAGGTTTTAGTGATGTTCCACACTTTTGGTTATCTATATATACTGCCTGTGGCCACATTGCAGTGGACCTACCCTTTTTAAAGAAATGATACAAGAGTAGGGGTAGCTGATGTTAATTAATTTAAAATTTCCTCTGAGCTCTTATCTTTATTTCCCAAAACATTGCTATGTATGTGCAGTTAGTTCTTCCAAATTTTACATCACATAGATGTAATAGTGAGCTCCATTTATTTATGCAGTATTGATCTTTATTGACCTTTACGGAGAGACCAAGGACATTCAATGTTTCCATGGAGATGCCAACCTTTAAAGATAATATTTCAGGCATGTCCCATTCAATCATGTCATCTTTATGAGGTAATTAGTTTTATTATCATACCATAGGAACTGATCTAATTAGAAGCTTCAGATTGACTTGATTTAGAACACAACGATGATTATTGGTTCCATCTACATTGAGTAACATGAAGTAGCATCTTTTTTCTATTTCCATATATATATATGCAGGTTAAACAATTAATAGAAGGATCGGGTTCGAGTCGTAGTCTCCTCGCATTGCACAAGCAAGAGTAAGGCTTGCCACTAACACCCTTCCCCAGACCCCACACAGAGCGGAGCTCTCTGCACTGGGTACGCCCTTTATATATGCAGGTTAAACAATTACTGTTGTCCTTCTATTAATGGTTGTATCACTACCTTTTTCTAATTTGGGGCTAAACCAAGGTTGGGTTCCAGTTTCTGAAAATAGGGTGCTGGTGGTCAGGTGGAGGATTTTGCAACAACAAAGTGAAATTCCAGAAATGGAAGGTGTATGGTCTCCATTGATTATGTCTACATGTTCCCTCTCATTTTACTTAATTAGGTCAATGGGTCCATATATAATTGTACACTAATTGAAAAGATGTTGCCAAAGTGCCAATTATTGCATCCTCTACATATAATCTTTCATCTTTTTTTCTCTGGGTCATTTTTCGTTTTGTTCTCTGCGTACCTTCATTTTGCTTGTGCTAAAGAGATAAATTAATTTCAATGAAAAGACTTGAGGATGCTAGGTAAAAAAAAGTATGAGAACATTCATATATTTTATTATTTCGTTGCCGTTTAGCAAAATGAGATGGTTCGAGAGATCTTTTGTTTGCTAAAAAGGACTAAAGCCTTCCTACCTTTTTAAAAAAAAAAAATCGTCGGTGCATAGGGTTCCTGATATTGTGAATTTTCCCCTTTGGTTGGTCTTGGTTCCTTTAGCAAGGATTACCGGTGTGAACGCTTTTATACTGCTTCTGTTATTAGCCACCGTTTTGTTGTCGCAGTGTTCTTTAAGTAAGATTAACCGGCCTTCTGCGCGGCCTCTGTTTATTTATGGCTTCAATCTTGGTACTCTAGCTTTAAGAACCTGCGTGTTCAAATACTTCTTCATAGGCATATTGTAGCTTTTTGTTACAAGGAATTTCTTTTCTACTCATAGATAATAGAATGCATGCCTACGCCTATAGTCTTTCCCAATTCAAGTTCTTCTTTGTAGTTCTTTTTATTTATGGACCAAAATTTTAGATTACACTGATACTTTTATCTATCCGTTTGACATGTATGTCCTATGAACTAAATGGATTTCCCACTTAAAATGGCATTTTCAACAAATGGATGCCTGTTGCTAAAGAAAAATGGATTACCTTCAAGAAAAATGCAAAGCCTAATGTCCAAATGGTCTAAGAGATATCTGTGGAGGCTATCTGCTTATCTATATATTCAAACTAATCTATCTGAATTCACTATATCTTCTTTCCGCAGCCTAGCAGCCTGTTGCTGCCTCTACGTACTTCCTGTGACTCTGCAAACTTGTTGTATGCCTGTGTTTTTACGGTCGTGTATACATACCTAGATTTCAAAGACCTAGTTAGATTACACAATTTGATGGAACTCAACTTTTTAGCTTAACTGCTCTATTTGTGGGGAAGTTGAATAGAATACCAAAGTCCCTTTTTGCTAAACAGTAGCATACTCCCATTCTTCGCCATGTAGTAGTTGCTAGCAGGGAACTTTTTGTTCAATGAGAACTTTCAAACCGCTATATGCCTGTGTTTTTTGTTGTGCATACATACCTAGGTTTCAAAGAACTAGTTAGACTACATAATTTCATGGAGCTCAACTTTTCAGCTGAAATGCTCTATTTGTGTGGAAGCTGAATAGAATAACAAAGTCCCTTTTTGTTAAAACCTACCATGTAATAACTAAGTCTTCTTTGTTTCATGCCAATCTTGCCCATTTTTTCAAGATTATTGCAATGCATATTATACTGAATATTTTTCTTTGGCAGGTTCATCAACAAAATTAGAACTACTCTCAAGCCCTATACTAAAAGAGCACGCCATGTATATGGACAGTTTCTTGAGACAACTGCTACATATCATCAGCAGGTATTTGTTGTTTCCTTTTCCCATCTACCTTTGTAAACAATTTTTGGGTCAGGTATGCTAAAAGGCACATCATGTATTTATTCGTTCACTGGTATAAACACTATCATCCATGGTCGCTAAAAGGCACGCTATGTATTTGTTCGTTGTCAGGTATAGACACTGATTTGTCATCGCTGAGCTGAACCTTGCTGTATATCTACAGACTATTTGTGTGCTCTGTTTCCAATCATGACTGCTTTTAATCTTACGAAAGCAATTAATAAATATAAATGTCAGTGCAATAAATTTTGAATAATCAGGGTTTCTTGATTTTTTAAATTATACAGTTAGACTCAATATATATTTCAATAGCCACTCCCTCATTATTGTAATTTCTTGTTTTCTTTTGGGTGGCCAAACGGTTTTACCATGTACCATGGCTTCATAGAAATTTTTGCAACCTTACATATTATAGAAGGGCATTGAGATTTTAGAACCTCAGCTTAATTATTCCATAACACAATGTGATCTATGCTTATACAATTTCTGCTTCTGTTATTTGTTTTTAACAGTCTTCCAAATCACAACGATAGTTCAGTTATACATAGTGATGGCAGCAACAAAAGATACTTTTAGTGATGTTGTTCCATAAAATCTTTGAGAGAAAGATGCATCACCATCCTGCACCAAACAAACCCGAATGCATGTGTGCCGCTAGCCCGCTACCAAGACTCATGCATATTCCTTACTGATTTGTATTACCAAACATTATATTACACTTCACAAAGAAAATACTATTAACACACTCAATTCTCCTCACAGATTGATCCACCAGTGACAACTGATCATCCACGGACATAGATGCTCCCAGCGACGTTGCGACCGAGCTTAGTGTCCCCGCCTACTTCTTCTTCCCCTCCGGGGCCAGCGACCTCGCCGTGTTCCTCAACCTTCCCTACTACTACCCCACCTCGTTCCGGTAGATGGGCAAGACTATGCTCGTGCGCTGCTTCCCGGGCATGCCGCCGATCCGCGCCGTGGATATGTTGCAGTCGATCCATGACAAGAAAAGCGACGCGACCAAGGTCCGGCTCTACCAGTTCAAGCGCATGGCGGAAGGGGAGAGGCATGCTGGTCAACAGCTTCGATTGGCTAGAGCCCTGGAGTTTCTCTCAGTGACTGTTAATTTTACAAACTTTGTTTTTTGGATTAAATGTCAGTTTAATGTCTTACAATATTGTTATCTTATAGTGCGATCCGTGTGTTTTTAGTATAAAAGTTTAGTCATTCCGTAGCAACGCATGGACACGTTACCTAGTAATGAAAGAAATATAAAACATAGGTATGGATATAGGCCTCGTTTGGATGCTTAAAAAAGTACTGTTCACGGATGGTTTTTACTATGCGCGGATGGTTTTCTCTCACATATTCTCCAGACTTTTCCAAATTTCTCCGAACGAACATACCGTAGATTAATAATATATCAGGTAGATTATTCCCGATTCATCCCGTTTTTTGAAAACCAAAGGACCTTAGATTCAAACAAACTTTCGATTGTAAATGTGGCCGTCGGATCGGATGCCTCCTGCTTGCCGATCCTATCACATCACGCACTACCTTCCGGCGAATCCAGCACGGAACAAATTGCCCCCCACCCACCTTGACTCGCCGCCGCCGTCGCAAACCCCACACCCGATCCTCAAATTCTCCGGTGGTGATGGCGGCCAGCCTGTGGCGCGCCGTGATGGACAGCGTCAGCGGCTCTTCCTCCTCCCCCTCGGCGCTGGACGCGGCCCCGGGCGGCGGCGTCGAGTTCTGGCACGGCGCGGAGCGCGCGGGGTGGCTAAATAAGCAGGGCGAGTACATCAAGACGTGGAGGCGGCGGTGGTTCGTGCTCAAGCAGGGGAGGCTCTTCTGGTTCAAGGACCCTGCGGTGACGCGGGCCTCGGTGCCCCGCGGCGTCATCCCCGTCGCCTCCTGCCTCACAGTCAAGGGCGCCGAGGACGTGCTCAACCGCCAGTTCGCCTTCGAGCTCTCCACGCCTGCCGAGACCATGTACTTCATTGCGGACTCCGAGAAGGAGAAGGAGGTGGATTAACTCCATCGGTCGCTCCATCGTCCAGCACTCCCGGTCCGTCACCGACGCAGAGGTCGTCGACTACGACAGCCGCCCCCAGCCCCCGCCGCAGCCTAAGGCTAGCGAAGAGAGTGAACCAGCAGCTTAATGGCGCGGTGATTCCTGTGAACTCTCTCGATATGGCTCTGAATTGTAGCATATGTACTTCCAATTCCAAGTGATTGTGGGCTTGTGCCGACGCTCCTTTGTTTCTTCACTCTTGATTATATGTAGTAGTATATTAATTATCAACGACATGGTCTGGTATGGTAATAAGCTGTACTTCGTGTATAGTTTGTTTTTTATATATATACTATATACTACGAATTGATCTAGGTACACCATAATTTACCAGGTGGTTGATGTCCGGCTAGTTTTTTACAGTTTTGAAGTATTCAGTATTGGCTCCAGTTTCAGAAATTGCAATAGATATGACTTGTTGAGTTTGACTCCAGCTTCAGGAATTGTTGAGTTTGACTCGTTCTATTCCCATGGAACTGTATTTGACTATTGTGTCGCATTTTTGCAGAAGATTCCCCAGTTTAGATCCTAGCTCTGACTCTAGTGCTCTTATGAAGTTTCTGTCCTAGTAGAAGTAGAAACACAAACACAAGCACTGATGAAGTGATGAATGTGCTGTAGTATGCTTATTAACCATGAAGTAAAACTGTAAAAGAACCATATATCAAGATGTCTTATGCTGCAATCTGAAGTGGAAGTTTTCTGTAGTGAATTGGTGTATGCAGTACTGCTCATGCGCTGTGTTTATTTGTGTAGTCGTGGAAATTCTGTGTCATTAGAAACTACAGTAAGAGGATGGATCCTTCCTCCATCCTTTGTGAATTATGCTTGGGTAAGGCTTGCCACTGACACCTTTCCCCAGACCCCGCACACTGCGGAAGCTCTCTGCACTGGGTACGCCCTTTTTTTAAAGTCAACTGGTGCTACTATTGCACAGTATCTTATATGTTATCCTTCTATTGATCAGTGGCCTGTGACCATGTTCATTTGTTTACTGCCTTGTAAGTTGATGACTGCTGCCTGGTAATAAGTCTGGTTTTCTTATGCATGTCTATCAGCTCGTTCTTTCATATTATGTATTGACCTTGCAATAGCATAATTTACTAACTGTTTTGTTATATTTACACTCCAATGTTTGTGATTAAATTTGATCTGCTTGTTTCATATTATGACATAGGTAAGATACTTTGCCACTAACATTAGTTCCATTGTAATGTGCTTACAATGTTTGTGTCCGATATCTATTAGGGTGTTAACATTTATGAGAAATTGAGAATAGCTGCAGTGGGAGTAGGAATACTGGTGTACTGATGTGTGTGGAACAGTACAATATGTTTGTTAGTGACCAAGTCAAATAACCATACATAAATGCTTATGTTGTGATCTGAATATGTGTAGTACTTAGGGTATCGGTTATCTCCTTACAGCAAACTCTTCCTAGGTTAATCAGGTGTCTGAATATGTAAACTGGAATGCCAGCATTGGTTTGTAGCACCATGTATAGAGTTTGGAGCTGTAGCCCATGTTGATCAATCTAATATTTTCTTCCTCTTGACTTGATGGCACCTGAATCTTGACTCTTGAGTAGTTAAGATTTCAGCCGGCTATTACAGGCGGTGTGTGTTAGTACTCCGTAGAAGTACAGGTTCTTTTCTGTGCACTGTGCTCATGTTGACCTAGTTCAGCTCAACTGCTTTTAGATAGCCCTTTAACATATGTTCGGTGTTCATATGACTAGCCTTTCAATGGCGCCTGCTGCGACAAAGCTAGTTTTTTTTTCTTTTATGTTTTGAAACACTCTTCCACTGATTCTAGGTTTTTTTGTTTTTTGAGCCAAAATCCCATGGCTGAATGCATCTTGGTATGACGGTCTTTTTATGCGGGGCATCCATTTCTGTGGGCTCGATGACGGGTAGGGTAGAGATGGGAATGACCGATTGAGTTGGCCCAGCCCTTGTAAGGCCACAGGTCAGCCTAGTTAATGGGTGTGGCCTCACTGGCCCATGGACATTGACAGGCCGAGACTACTATGTTGGCTGCACCATCATGTCGGCCCAGCTACAAAATCTGAACAACTGATAATAAGGGGCATAAATGCTTACAATCTCACGTGGCGAGTCCACGTCAACAGCATGCTATATCAGCGAATGGAGCGGGTTAGAGCCTATTTAAATTTAAACCAATGTTGGTGCTCAGAATAAGTTTAGAGACCTAGATGCTGCTACTATGGTACACATTTTGATGGCCTAGATATCAAAACTCAAGAGTTCAGGACTCGAATGACACTGCAATGCAAGTTTAGAGACCGCCTGTGAATTTTACTAAAAAAAAAAATCCAGTCATGTGCGTCTAAATGCATCGCCGGTGGAGCTGGGTAAGGGCCAAAGAGGACCATGCCCCCAAATAGGCTAGAAGATTTCTTAATTAAATACATGATTTTGCTACTTCAAATTACTGTGAAAATACAGGTATGTTCCCCTCCCTTTGCTTTTCAAAGATGTCAAAGTTACACGACATCGACGAGTTCCGCTTGTTCCATGCTCGTTGGCAAGACATTAGCGTGCAGGACCAGCCAGAAATGTTAACAAACTAGAGCTAGAGCCTAGCAGCTAAAACACATATAGAGGACTATACGGGAGTAGAATTTGCGACTGTGGGTGCAACAAGGCAAAGTGTTGGGACCACTTGGCCTACTCGACGTCCGTCACCAGCCCATGACGCCGACGCCTCCTAGAAAAGAGTACTTGCATGACTTCTCGCTTCCTAGGGTGAAAGGTCCTAATATGGCTAGATGGGGTGAATAGCCTATTTGAAAATATACAAGATCACTAGAGTAATTTGATTAGTATGACAAATAACGAAATACAAACTTGCTCTAGCTCTACAAGGGTTGCAAGCCACCTATCCAATAATTCTAGTTGCTATAATCACTAGGCACATAAGAGGCTATGTGTGGCAGAACCGCCCAAAATAAACCGCTTTCGGAGGCGCTCGTCTTCCACTAGACACTAAGCACCCCAAAAGTTAGCTACATCGGATAGTTCCGTCGAGCACACCCCAAGAGAGAACTCGAACAATCCACATTTTCACCCAGGATCCAATAATGAGTACAAGTTTATAATACTTAGTCCATTTCATACAACAAGAGTTCTCAAAAATATATTATTACAATACCAAGTTCAGAGTGAGGAATTTAAATAGCGGAATTGAAATAAACATCTAACGATAAGATACAAGGATCCGTCTGTGCCCACCAGAAGAATCCTTCACACAATAGCCACTCCTCAAACTGCACCTGCAACAGGGGTAAATAAACCCTGAGTACACAATGTACTCGCAAGACTTACCCGACTAGTGGGAATAATTTCCCGACTCCAAAGGATATGATAAGTTTTATGGTTTGCTGGGTTTTCTTTTTGTGAAAAGCATTACTAGTAGTGAATCCTTATGTATGTGTTTTATTAGCAGTCATGATTAGTTCATTAGCTAACCATTCTATGTAAGCACATGTTCTACTTTCAACTTTCAAGCAAGAGTTGAGCAATCAGATCCATTCATCCCCTTTCATCTTTCAGTTCTTACTACGGTGCTAGATCATAGCCAAGTCGTACCGTATCACACGGCGATTCGCGAACCAATGTATCCCAGCTGGGTACCCCGAAACACACGCCCCGCTTGTACCCCAGGCACAAGCAAGACCAACCCACCACTCTCCTGTCAAGGGGTCCAGGTCCCCATCCAAACTTGGACTCTAAGCCCCCACTCCTGAGTCCCGGACTCAGTGTGGTGCTTAGACCTCCACCATCCGCCTCCAATCAGTCGGTTCGAAAAGAGCCGGAACCCACGACAAGAGAGCAACGAGCCTTCCCGTTCCTATAAGAAAGTGCGTGGTTAGGATAATAAGTCTGTGACCTGACTAGAATCCACAACAATGGATGGTCCTTAACCGTCATGGACAGAGAAAATAGTGTAACCAAGATATTTATGCCCCGTTGGTCGTGGGACACAACCTATTACACCCACCAATACCCGTACCATATCCTTGCCCGGTCTCCATTTCTTTTCACCATTTTATCATGAGAGTAATAATAATAATTACCTATTGTGAGTAACGACAGGTTACTCACGCTACCGATAGCCCAAGCATAGCAGCTACTCGACCTATGCTAGTAGAACTCATAGGTAGGTTATTTATGCATGTAGTTTCAATATAAATCTTGTAATGTAAATGCACATCACATATATATATATATATATATATACATCTAGTTATCATTTAAAATAAGGGTTATGCACCGAGGCTTGCCTTGGGTAGGCGGGGTGTCAGCTAAGTCAGTCAGTGACGGCTCCAGGACCTCCTCCTACACGAGGACCTCCTCCTCGTACTCCTCGATCACCTCTTCGTACTCCTTCTCTTTGGTGGTCACGAACTCCACCAACTCGTTCTCTACATGCATGCAATGATGATGCAACATTTAATATTTTGGCAACAACAACTCTTAAAATAAGAATACACAAGCTAAGCTATTAAGCTAGCTCTAATGACTAAGATACTAAGCTAATCATTATCTCTACCAAATAGATTTCAAGGTTACCCTACAAGTGCTTAACTTTTATAAACCAACATCATGCCATTATTCCTTTAGCCTTAATGGGTATTTAGCTACCATATTAAGTAGTCTATTCTAGGGCTATAAAATTACAGTGAGCACATACTAATACTAGAAAACTACCATAAAAATTTTAGGATTAAAGCTATCATCAATTTACCACAAAAATTTCTACAATTTTTAACCTAATAATATTAAGCATTCTCAAATGATTTAATAGCTCATGGTATCAACATGTATATATATAAACTAAATGCACTAATAGATAGAGCATAATTTTAGAAACTTAGCAAAATTTGTTGCACAATTTTTGGATATCTACATGATTTTATATGATTTACCAAAGATTAG